GTTTCAGTTCCAGAATCGGTGTACTTTTGGAGAAATTCAGATAAACTTTTTCCCTGTTTTACCCGACAACAAAAATGACCGAAACTGTATCAAGATGAATAATCTATTTGTGTGTTCACATTCACTCTCAGGGAAAATTGAATGAATCAAAGTGAAGACGAATGATGTCACTATGTATGGTAGAAGTGCCAATTTATAATGTTGTGTTTAGCTTGAGATAGAGAAATAAACATTTCACTCTTTTTTTGCGACGTTTTTGTATGAAAATGAGGCTACGAGCCTCGAACAAGCAGCCGTTGTTACCATGGCAACAAGAGTGCTGCGACCTTTAAAAAGGGCATTTTTGTGCATCCCTCCTGAGTGCCTAACTGCATGCAAAATTTGAAGGAGGGTTGAAAATTTTCATTTCCCAAGATGTTTGATTCTTACAGAGACTTGTTCTTAAGATCACTACAGGTCATAGCTCCTCTCCTTCACAAAAGCAATTTTCTTGGTTACTGAATTTCTTATTGTCAGTACTAAGCCCAAATCACCTGGACTATTTCTTCGGACTCAGGGGAAGGCTTGGTGTCATGCCAAGTTGTTGTTTCCAGTGTTCATGGCCAATCAGGAGAGACCACGATCATCTTCCCTAGTGACCAGCATGCATGAACAGAACGCCACTAGTTCCTAATTTGGTTGAAAGCGTGTGAATAAGGTTATGTAAGTTCGCCTGTCATCACTATCGTTGGAACTGTTATATCTAATGATCTAGCCTTATTTTCGTTTAAGTGTGGATCGGTGTTGCTTTAAAACTTTCCGTGGTATTAGTTGACGATTGCAAATGAGAATAACAGAGAGATGTATATTTTGCTTTTCTTCTACAATATTTAGATTCTCCACCGATATGTTCTCCTTGCTGGCTTTTTCAAAGAGTGGTGTGTAGTCATGATATACTGCATTGCTGAGCTGACGAGGGTTTTAAGCCAAGAGACTGAAAAGTTTCTGAAGTCTAAAAAATATCAGCGTACCGAACCAGCCCGACGAAAAGTCGGGATCCTCGCTGAAATTTTCTGCCGACTTGTGATCCATGAATCCGCTAACATTAAAGCAAAAATGTGCAATTCCTTGGTCTTTTGTTTACCAATTCCCTTGGACACGAATGCCTTCTCTGCCACCTCTGGTTGAAAAGATTTTGACAAAAACCGATCAAAGTTCACGTATTTTTAAAGTTTAATAAAAGAAGTCCCGCTTGGAACTTTTGCCATGACCGCCTGAAAGTTGGGAATTAAGGTGGCCTTTGCCATGATCAGCTAATAGGCGAAGATAGACAGATAGTTTCCTTACAGGGGGTTGTCGCAAGCCTGCCGTCCTTAATATTTCCAATAAGTATTAATGTTTAAATAGTGTTCATCGCTGCGATTATCATTCTCAAATTCATTTATTAATCTGCAGTTCATATATATGATTTTCAGATATTCACAGTCATTTATTTACCACTTCACGGGTTTATTGCGACCTACGCTTCAATCACTCAGTTGATTAGTTCAGTTGATTGGGCACTGCACCAGTATCACTGAGGTGAAAACGAAAACGGAACACACTTCTTTCCAATCTTTAAATTTAAGTTATACCGGTACTGAAGACAAAAATTGGAATTATTCGTCTCATAATTTCGATTGTGCATTCTCTGTTGCCCCTCCGGAAGAAATTTATATCATAAGACCTTTGAGTGCATTGTGGGGTAGGGGGCACAATAGGAAATGGGGGGAGGGAGGGAAAGGGACCCCCAAATTTCAAGGGAGGGAAGTCTTGGATAGTATGCGAAAGATTATAAACTGTTTATATTCTCTTGTAGTATGATGATGGAAAATTTATGCCATTTTATACAATTTCAATCATTACGAAATTATTTGTTTCCATTCCTCAATGCTGCAAAAACTACCTTCTCAGGCAGGACGTCAAATCTCCGACAACAAATTACAATTAGAATGAAGTTATGTTAACACGTAGGAGGGAAATTCATTCCGTGCTCATCGGGATTAATAGAGAGATAACGATGAAGCTCATCTCTATGTGATAAGAATTGTTTTCAACAAAGTTTTTGATGAAAATTGATTAAAAAGCTTACTTAGAGCAAATTCTATAGGGTAGCTTAAAGGTAATCTATGGAGATTAACGAAGATGCAATTAAAGGTATCTCTTTAGGAAAATAGCACGTGTCAGGAGCGTAAACATCAATCTAAATATTGATGGTTTTCCTCCTTTGTAATAGATATCATATTATCTTGAGGTGGATAAAGTAAATAAGACTACAGTTGTTTAGGTAATCAATAAGCTCCCAGTAATCGGACAAATGGTTTCAAGGAAAGAAACAAATGCACGAGAAGGGTGGTGTTCTTTCGCCTGGAGAGGGATACCTCCGATGAATGGCTCAGAAACCCTTTTTGCTCACCATGAATGGCCCTTCGCTATGCTTTGCCTGCAGCAGTTGGTTGATGTTATTGATGTTGTTTCTTAATGACACGAAATGTTTACGCTTGGCTTAGATAATTCACGTGTACATTAGCGTAAATATGTGAAATGTTGAAATGTGAATACGATGTGATCGATAAATGTAGTCTACTACGGCTGTTGGTTCAGTCGCTTCGTTCTAAATATGATAGTAACCTAAATTTCCCTTACCAAGTATTTTTAATTGCGCATTTACTCTGTCATCTTCTGGGATGACTTCGCATGAAACGAACTGGTACGTATCATCAGTCGACTTCCAAACGACTCTCCAAGATGCACAACGGACAAACTAATCACACGAAATAACGTGAAGAGTTTTCTCGTCCTAACGAATCGATCCTACGATCAGTCCTACGATCGCAACAGAAGTAACGTGATAACATACTTAGTCCTGTTGATGAATGCGGGCAAAACTATGCTCGGTTAAACGATAAGTGCTCTTGTGGTTAAACCTTCATTACGTTTATGAACCATCTGGGTTATTTTATCTCTTAGAGCAAGATCCAGCTTTTCTTAACAAGTTAAACGTTTTTGTATTGTGTATGTGGCTTGTAAATTTGGAGCAGATGTTACACCTCGTGTTTCCTGAAGTCAGGACTATCCACCCTCCCTCCACTCCTTCCCAACTCAGCGCAATGCATGTTATCAAGTACGAAAAGACTGCGCCTTGAGTAACACTTACTGTAAACGAAATGTAGAGACCTCTTTTACGACCACACTGCCCCGGATAAAATAAATTCAAAAACGCTAAGGAAGATAAGACATAAGCTTACCAGCTTCGTTTTTACGTGTGGGGCTACCCTTCACGGATAAATTAGTTCACCGATCGCATTTAATTTTTTGAAATTGCTCCTCCTTGAATCAAAACAGCGGAATTGTGTGGACGGAGAAAAGTTTGAAAAGGAACTTTGGGAAAACACTGACTCGGTTATTCCTTTATTCATGGGGAAGATGGGGGGTAAACACTTTCATTACGCATGCTCAACAGCTGAAGGGTCTATTCATTCAATATTTTGTTTCGCTGGTCATGATTGTACTGCAGACGGAAAACCATCTTATCTGTTATCTTCAGCGAGAATGAAAAACTATCGTTGCGTGGTTTGAATGAAACGCTGTCCTCAAGTGTATCTGGCGTGCATTGAATGGGGCTCCAAACAAACCTGTAGCACTAACGACACACTTGGTAGGATTATTTCAAAATATGATGTTTTTTACTTTTAGGTCAATAAACACACGCACACACTTAATATACTTGACATTGCAGGAAGTTAACCATGAAATCTCTTTCTTCATGACATACAGTATAGTATCCGCTTACAGTGAACACCTTGTTTCATTATACTTCTCAGTGCATGTCTCACATTCAACTCTGCAGCACCAAATAAACTTACATCTACATTTAACCTGCTTGAAATGCTCC